AGGAAAACTTATTAAATGTTTTAAATGAATAATAAAAATTACTTAAATTTTAAGAAAACCGAACTAGTTTTCAAGTTCTAATTTTTAAAACCATTTATTTTTGTAACATGATGGAACACACCTTTGATATTTTAAACTAAGACAATTTCAGTTCTCGTAAGGAATCGTAATTTGAACTATCTAAGGCTAAAAAAAGGTTGCAAAGATAAAAAAATGGGTTGAAGCTAGTTTTCAGTTCCTTTTTTTTCTAGATTTAAAAACTAAATCTAAGCTCAAGAAGGGTATGGTAGGCCAAGGAGAGGATGAGATTGAGGGGGTGGAGGAGGAGGAGAAAAATGAAGAAGATGATTTCAGGTAATCAAAAAAAGTTCAAAATTTAGTTAAAGATTAATCTTGATTGGGCCAGAAACACATTTAAAATAAATAAGAATATTTCTCTTGTTCAGTAATTCAAGAATCTAGAACGTTGTATTTGGCCAACCAAATTTATCGAAAGCATATCGAATTGTTCATGAGAATTGGCTAATGCTGAGTAGCTAGATTGTATATCGCACACATAATATGAACACATTGTAATATTACGAGGGAAAATTAAACAAAATTCGTGTTTTGCTTAGGTTTGATGAAAACGAAACAATAAGTTTCTGACAAAAAAATGAATTTAGTCTTTGCCACAAACTCTTATTTTCTAATCCTTATATAAAAGGTCATCCCTATGTCATAGACTTCAGATATTTCAAACTATGAATTAGGTTGAATAATCTAATTTTGTTGCAAAGATATAGGGATTAAAAAATTGGAGTTTGTGCGCAAAGACTTTTTTTGTCAGAAACCTAGCTAGTGGCAAAGGTAAAAATTATAAATTGTGGTAAATAATGCAGTTCCTTTGATTTTCAACAATTTTTCCTAGGAGAGATCGGCATAGGGCTGATACTTTGAAGTACAGAGAGTACAACCAGTTTGGTAGGAAAGTACCCAAAAATGCAGAAGTTGCAAATATTCAGGTACAGAAATTTGCAATAGGAAGTTGCAAATACCCAGGTAAAACAGGAAGTAAAGGACTAAGTTCACTTTAACGACCGGAATTCAGGTATAAGTCGAACCGTTAACGAACAGCTGATCGTTAATTGCAAACCATTAATTTCTCACATTTTCTGCCAAAGGGAAAATATTGTATAATTTGAAAAAAGAAAACTTGTAAAGAATAAGATTTTGCAATTTTTCCCCTGAAAACCAATAAATTAGATATTTAAAATAACAGAAACAGTGGGCTAAAGAACGGGCTATCCAGGCCTAGAGGTAAAACAGGAAGTAAAGGGCTGGACAGAGTTTGGTAAAAGACCAGAAATTGCAAATATCCAGGTACAGGAAGTATCGCTCTATACAAAGTTTGGTTAAAGACAGGAAGTAAAAAAAAATGTTCAGAAAGGGAAAAAACCTCCTAATTTTAATTGTTAAAAACAAAGGGAAAGAGTTGGTAAATTTCCCTAACAGACGAGATTTTGTTAATTTATTTAGGAAGTTTTAAATCTATGATTAAATACTGGTATATTATGCTTAACAATTAATTAAAAAGAACTGCAATATGTCTTAACAGACAATACTATTGTAGTAAAAACATATTATGCACCATACAACTTAGAGTATATTTGACAACTGCACTTTTTCAGGTGGGAACTTGTGATTTTCTAGATGAGATTGTGTTTGGGTTTATCAGACTTGACGCTCCAGTTGTTTTAGAGGATCTCAGTGCTCTACAGAAACCAACAAGGTGCAGTTTTTGATGTTTTTGAAGTAGATAAATAACATCATTTATTATTTGATTTAAAGCTGGAAGGAATTGAGTCTTTTTCGTCACAAACTCGAAATTTCGAATCCCTATATCTTAGCAGCCTGATTGTGTAAATCTTTAATATTTCAAACTTAGATGATTTGATCAAAGATAATTCATAGTTATGAAGCAATTATGATCTACATTCAGATACAAGGATTAGAAAATCTGAGTTTGTGGCAAAGATTCAATTCCTTAGTTACAGTCATATTCAAATTCATAAACAAAACGTGTGACTGCCGTGAACTTGTTTTCAAATGGTATTTATCTTCTTGTTGTTTGTTACTGCATATAAATATTATCTGGATACAAACCGATTTTTTCGGGAACCCTGTATGGTTTAAACTCTGTGAGCATGGTTGTTTAGGTTCCTTGTTCAAATCCTAGGACCTGAAGGTTCTGCTGCTCAGTGTTTAGAATTAGGTAGAGCTGTTGGAACCATATTCACAGATGAGGTTGGTCACAATTTCAAAATTTTGAAATATAAAAAACCTTAGGGAAAGCAGACTGTTCCCAACACATACACATGATATATATAGACTGATCTCATATCCTTTTAAACAGAAAATTTAAGACCATGATATTTATAGATATAATTCAGTTGGTACAGACCAATTATAATATAGAAATATCAAAACACACTTGATACATTATGGTTATTTGTTGATTTTAATCATCAGATGTAGACTAATCAGAATATCCTTTTGAACCAATTTATTTTTAGATATATAGTTTAAAATTGGGGAAAAAAGGCTTTTCATACCTACTGGGTGGGATCTGCCCAAATCGGGGCGATCTCTCTGTATCCACCTCTGATTAATCAGGGCTCACAACAAATGTTGATACTTTTTATTTTAATGGAGATATATGTGACAATTTAATTCGAATTATTATTTGTTCGAACCCTAAAAATGTACAGAAAAATCTTAATTTTAAAAATGTATATTTTTTAGATATTTACTGGGCAGTATGCTTATAAGAGTTTAAGCACTAAACAGGTTAATAACAATAATATGAATGAAAATAATGATCATTATGATATGTTCAAATTATTTTTGTCATTATATGTATAAATCAAAAAGGAATACAAATCTCAAAATTGTTGTATAGCTGGTGAAAGGATTGGAGTTGTATATGAAGGAGCTGACTGTTTTGCCTCCAAACTGCTGGGATCCAAAAATTCGTTTACTCCCTCCTACATCACCTACAACTGTTAAAAACAGGTGAGTTTAGTCCCTCCAAGATCGCCTCCAACTATTATAAACAGGTGAGCTTTCACTGTAACCTCCAACTTTAAAAAACAGGTATTTTCTCCCGCCTAGATCGCCTCTCACTATAAAAAAAACCGGTGAATTTAGTATCTCCTAAATCGCCTCCAACTATTAAAAACAGATGAGTTTACTCCCTCCTAGTCCTATGCAGTATGAACAATATCCAACAATCAAAAACAGAAAGTCAACAGGGTTGCTTATTAAGGGTTAATCTTGAATGATATCCTTTACTTCAGCATTTGATTAAAAACAGGTGAGTTTTGTCAAAAGAAATTTTTTATTTTTTTATTATTATAAATCTCTCCCGAAATTTGTTAAAATTGAAGTGTAAAATTATAAATAAGTAAAAGGGATCTGAAATCACGAATCAAATTTTCATAAGAAAAAATTCAACAAGATCAGGCATAGTATAATATAAAACTATTTTTTTAGACTTATCAGCAGAGCACTCATTCGACAGAGATCAACCTTACAGGAAGACGACGATATTGAAGACGACTTTACCCACAAAGTAGAAGTAATCATTTTTAAGGATCATCTTATAAGTAGTTACAGTGAATCCCAGATATATGAATACATAGACCGTCATAAGTTTTTTGTTAATTCTAATAAAAACTTCTTTTTATTTTTAATTCAAGGTAAATTAAAAGCCCTGGAATATGAATGCAATTAATAGATTAACATTAAACTCAGTTTCCCGCGGCATTATAAACTTAAATATGTAATACGACATTATAAAAACTCTAGCTATGTATTCATATATATGGGATTCACTGTATAATCTGTAACTTTTCAATCCGCAAATTATGTGTTGTGGATAATATTGAATTAAATAGGATTTTATTTATTGCAAAATAAAATATCTTTTAATGATAAATATTAAGGGTGAAAAAGGAAAACAAAACGACGGCGATGGACTCAAGTTTACAGGTCGTCTTTTTGGAGGTAAAAATTAGAATTATTTCTAATTATAAATTAATTTGATTATTTTTTAATATGCGCTTTCCAGTTCAAGTCTACTATTTATATTTTTTTATGAGTAATGTTTTCAATTAAAATTTAAATGCATAGAAAAATTCAAACCACAGGTTTTATTTTGCTGCAGGTTTAATAGAAGATGTAAAAAGAAAGATTCCCTGGTACAAATCTGACTTTACTGATGCTTTCCATGTACAGGTCAGATATACATGTGAGGGTCTGATTTATATGTACATTTCTGATTTACATGTGAGGGTCTGATTTATATGTACATGTCAGGTTTACAAGTGCATGTATGAATTACATGTACAAGTCTGATTTACATGTACAAGTTAGATTTACAGAAATATTTACAGAAAAAATGAAACCTTTTTTTCTTCTTCATAAATTCCTGCATTTTGAAACGACATTGAGGTTTTGTAATCTATAACTTTTATAACCATTTATATTAATATATGTTCTATATTAACTTTTGTGTGCATGGGAGCATCGTTAATCTTGAAGACATGATCTCGATTTCCTAAGGTTTTAATTTTCAGGTTAAATTAATGCTTCCTTGATTTACATTATCCCTGTAGGGTATTCCCACTACGGGATATCGACCAGGAATTGAATTAATCAGTAGGTCTGCATAAAATGGATTTAAATGGTTGATCCCGAGATTCGCAACATAAAGGTTCTGGCTTCAGAACAGTTTCAGAGATAAATGTTTTTTTTTGTATCAGAACAAATTATTTAGCTACATACCCACAAAGGATGCGCCTTTAAATCTGACGATTCCAAGGTTAAACTAGGTCTTCTGCCTTGAATACAACCTTTTAATGACGTATTCAATGATACGGCGAAGAAAGAAACAAGTTCATGTAATCATAGAATAAGGAAACCAGCTGTATTTAATGTTTACAATATCTTTGGCGTTGTTTCTTTTCGAAGTTTAACCAAAAATTCATTTCTGAATTATAATGGTTATGACCAAACACGCATATTTACAATGTAAACCATTAATATCAAAAATAACTTTAAAACATAAAAAAAAGTTAATGTTTGATTCTTATTATACAAATGCCACCAATGACAAAACATCTTTTTCTTGATATATTATTGTAATAAATATCATGGCAATCCTCATATTTATAAACCTGTACACACCTAGATAAATTACGTTGTACATTGTAACCTAAATAATTGCTTTTAGATTATTACGTAAAACTTGTAATTACGTTCATTAATGTAACCATACCCAAGAAGTCAAAATATAATATGATATGAGTTTAGAAGGAATAATACTATGTTGTTAGAGTAATTGTTCCTAGTTTAGCGAACGAGAAGAGTCCTGAATCAATTTCTTGAAAGATAGATATAGATTGGGAATTACAGTTGTATTGTGTAAGATAGATACCGAATTGATATTGACTGACGAACCTTGAGATCTAGATTGAGTTGTATCTTGTAAGACAGATACCTTAGAATACAGACTGAATCATATCGGGATTGAAATTGACTATGGTATTGCTGAGAAACCTTGAGTTCTAGATTAAGTTGTATCTTGTAAGACAGATAGAGTCATAACCGAATTAATACTGACCAAGGTGGTATTCTTAGATAACCTGGAGTTATATATTGAGTTGTACCTGGATTGGTACTGATCTAAAAGTATTTATTGGAGTAGGGCATTTACTGCATTATCATATTTTATTATATTATTTTTTCATTATCAATTGCCAAATATTTCAGACTTTGGCCTCCATCATTTATATCTATTTGGCCACCATCACAAAAGCGATAACTTTTGGAGGATTTTTGAGCGATATTACAGAAGGACGTCAGGTGGCACATTTATTATGTCTTACAAACATTATGCACTGAGAAATTGCCAAAACATAATGAAACTTAAAGGGACCGTTCACTTATTTGGGTAATTTCATGGTAAACTAAACAGCCTATTAGCTGTGGTATTAGAACTATGGCTGGAGAAAAAGTCGGTTTTTCGTTTAGAATTCGAGCGCAAAGGAACGGTCTCTTTGTTTGAAACACTATAGTAGACGTTTTTCAGCAGCAACAGTCAGAAAACATTTAAAGTTATCATATTTTAATGCCATTATGTGTTAGCTGTTATATACTCAAATATGGAAACTTATGATATTTAAGTTAGCAATAAATTTACGTTTTTAATATTAAATCGTGTAAAATGAAGATACAAAGACGACATTCTCTACAATAATCAATTAATCATTAGGCAATTAATAGTTGAATCTAGATTCAAATTATAGTGTTATGTTAAAAATAGAAAGTTAAAATTTTTAAAACAATTATGACATTTACAATTAACTATTTTTAATTTTAATTTTACATTCAAATTTCTTTTTAATCCATGACAAAGACAAAAAAGCAAGTCCCTTTGTGCTCGAATTCTGAACAAAAAATCGGCTTTTACTCCTGCCACAGTTGTCTTTGAAAAGTAAAACCAATACTAATCAATAGCAAAGAAGCTATTTAGTTTACTCCAAAATTAACCAAATAAGTCTATATTTAGACCTACTCTTAGTCAATATATATCAACATTAAATAGCTCTTTAGGAAGCCTTTAACAAAAGAAAGCTGAATGCACACTTTTTGCAGTGAAGAAATTTTGCACAGATTTTTGCAATTTTTGAAAAACTTTTTCAAAGTAATTAAATGGTAAAAGATGTTATGCTACTATTGCTTATGCTAATCAAATCTGCCATGGCCAGCCTAATTTAAATTTTTTAGAACTTTTACTTCTTTGGTAAGGTGCTGAGGAAATTAAAAAAACTGAAAAAAAAATCTTAAAAAGTAAAAGAGAGCATTTAAACATCATGAAAGCAATATGTATAAAGACCCTCAAGTCTCTGTAACTTTTGAAGGAATGTGTGCTCTTATGTTCAGGGTGTCCTTGAATCCTTCCTTGGGCATGCTCTAGCTGGTGGGGTCTTCTGTCTTCTTGGTGGTCAACCTCTTACTGTTCTTGGTTGCACAGGAAACCACTTTATTAACATACAAAATGTAGTTAAAACCTTTTCTTTCACGATGACAAAAAACATTTTGGAAAATTTCAAAATAGCTCTCTGTTTGTTCTTTTTTGGTTGACAGTCTTAAATTAAAACTTTTTTACGTTATTACTAAAATTAAGTTTGAATTAAAGTTTACCTATTAAAAAAGTGGGTAAAAATTATGTTTGGAAACAGGACCAGTGCTGATATTTGAAAAGATTTTGGTCGAGTTTTGTAGGTAAAGTTTTTTCTTCAACTATTAACAATTGGTTGATAATACTTTCTCTTATATCTTAAAACTTGGTTGTTAAAAATTCAATTTCTAATATCTCTTGTTAGCTGAACAGTATGAGCCAAAAATTTAACTAAATTACTTTCCTATACAGTTTAATCAGTTATGCTTTCAAATATAAATTATTCACTTTAGAAAAGTTTCATTCCATAATTTTTAACTCAACATATAGAATTTTGAATAATTGTTTAATATTATTGAAACCGAAATATCTAATACTTTTTTTTTCAAATCAACTTGAGATAATCCCCTTTCTTCATTATAAAAGTCATTAACATGAATGCAATATCAAATTTCTGCCTCTCTCCCATTACAAGAAATAACTGCTTTAAAACAAGTTTATTAGCCCAAAACAACCTCTTTGCTAAATTTTATTAGCAAAAAAAAACATGCATTCGTCAAAGGAGTCTACAGGATTTCAATTTGACATAAGCATACAAAAGCTCAAAAAAAATTTTATTGTTTAATTTTCAGTTCATATGAGCTTGAATACCTAACTATTCGGCTGTGGATTGGGCTTTGGTCTGCTCTTTTCTGCTTAGTAATAGTAGCAACTGATTCATCAGCAATAGTAAGGTAATTTGAAACTTATTTGTAAGTCAAATTATCCTTCCTCAAAATTAAGCTTTGCTTCTCGGTAAAATGCTAATATCAATGCAAAAATTATTAGTCAGATCGAGGTCGGTATTTGAATGTATTTTAATTCTAAGCTATTTTAAATATATTTTTAATACACTTAAATTAAATTATTCAACAATTCTCATTAATTATTTAATTATAATTAATTTAATTTCGAAGGTATTTTACGAGATTTACAGAGGAGTCATTTGCAGCTCTTGTTGGGGTCATCTTTATCGTTGAATCTTTAAAGAAGGTTTACAGTAAGTACATTTATAAAATTTAATTAAAACAATGATAGAGAGTTTAACAATTACATTTTAGAAATGGGAAAAAAGTATAAAGTTCATCGTGGTTATGATCCCAATGAACTATTTGATGAATCTTGCAAATGTATTTCAAGTCAACCACAGGTCAGCCAATTTAAATCACTAAGAGCTATCAGAAAATATTTTGATTACATTTTTTATTAATAATTATTTTGATTTCTAGAATGTCAGCAATGTTAGGAATATAACTGAAATTGATTGGAATAATTTAACTGTATCTCAGTGTAAAAAGTAAGCAGAACTTTTAGTGGGAAATAAATAAGTTTGACACTGTTAACTTCAAAATTCTTTAAGATATTTGCAAGGTGGCACTTTAAAAGTAAGCAGAAACCCATATATTAAAGTTCATTTGGTGACATTTTAAATTGTTTACAGATGACAAACATATTTTTCATCAACACCATGAATCTGTATATAAATGGAGGGTAGGGGGGGGGGGGAGGTCTATTTTAAATTATTATTAAGTAGAACAGGTATTGCTTTGTTAGAACTAAAAAATACTTGACCTGAAATTTTATCCATCTTAGGCAAATTCATTTTATAGTTTATCAGCTTTCTGTAACATATCTATTTTCTTCAAAAAATCTTATTACTTCTCTTTACACATTTAGCAAAGTGAAAGGGTGTATAATGAATATGAAAGCAAAAGTTGCACCTAATAACAAATCAAGATTGATTTGATTACCTTTTGTAAAAAAATCTTGCAAAAACTATATGTACCCTTTACAAATGCAAGGTCTGCACCTTCCAAGAAGGGGGGGGGAATATTCTTGAAAATATATATCCCTGCCTGTATGGTGTACATGCAGGATCTTGATCTGGTATTTCTAGGTATGGAGGAGAACTAGTTGGATCCTCCTGTGCATATGTTCCTGATGTTTTCCTTTTTTCCGTTATACTCTTTGCTGGAACATATATCCTGTGTTCCTCTATGAAAAAGTTCAAATTCTCAACTTTGTTTCCAACAATGGTTTGCATTTAATTAAAAGTTTAATCTTTTATGAAAATCTTTAAATTGTTGATAATTTTTTTATATTTTCCAGGTTCGTTCCCTTATAAGTGATTATGCAGTGATTCTTACAATTTTAATTTTTGTTGGAGTGGATTCATGGTTTGACCTTGCTACTCCTAAGCTCATCGTTCCTACTTTATTCAAGGTAGCAAGAACTAGAATTTTACAGTTGTCTTATTGTAAATTATGATGTGTGGATTTTCGCCTTTCTTGAAACTATGAATTTTGGGGTAAAATCCCATTTTATGGAAAATCATTAATGAGTCAATTCAAGTTGAAAAGACAAAAGGATCCTGAAATTTTCATAGTAGATAATTTATGTATTAAGACTTTGTAGCAATTAGCTCTAACTCACCAAAAGTATTAATTAAAATACAAATTTAAATATAAACTCAAAACAATTTTCTAAATTTTAGCCAACAAGATCTGATATCAGAGGCTGGATAATACCTTTCATGGATCCTAATTCTCCTTGGTATGGATGGTTCTAAATATTAAATATAAATACACTAAGCTTGTAGGACACTTTGAATCCCTCTTTGATATATTATTTGGGTCTTCCTTTCATATACATGTTCCCTACAAAATCAATTTTAAATTTTGCAGATTTTTTGTTACCTTGGGCGGATTTCAAATTTTGTTATGCAAATCTTTGAGTCATAACAAGCAGACAAGACAAATTTACATTTTCATTTTTGTGTACTTATTTCCAAGGTATATATATCTCGGAGCAAGCGTCCCTGCGTTGCTACTAACTATCTTACTCTTTATGGATCAGCAAATTACTTCTGTTATAGTCAACAGGAAAGAGCATAAGCTTAAGGTAGATTATTATTCATAACAATACTAATGTCTTATTTTTTTTTAAAAGGAAGTGTTCATTTTCTTTAAAACGTATAACACATGAATCTAAATTCTTTTTTTTACCATCCAAAACTTTTATAAAAGATTATCTGCTGGTTGCCTAGAAAGGCAAAAGTAGCCAGGTTGTTAAACTTTTGATTTTTCATAAGAACATATGTGGTGGAAAAAAACTGAGTGATATACAACTTTAGGTTTCATTCTTTTTCACCCTTCGCAAAAGATTAGAAAGCACTCCCTCACTTTTTTATCTTAGGAAAAATCGTTCATTCCAATTTTTGGTTTAGAAAGGAGCAGGTTACCACCTGGACATGCTAATTGTTGGTGTAATGATGGCAGTTTGCTCAGTACTGGGTCTACCATGGTGTGTAGCGGCAACTGTGCTTTGCTTAGGCCACGTGGACAGTTTAAAGATGGATACTGAATCAAGCGCACCGGGAGAAACTCCGCAATTTCTTGGAATAAGGTATTTATATTGTTGTAACTTTTGTATATACTTTTTTTTGGAGGGGGGGTTTCTTCTATTACAATACATTACTGGTAAATTTGTTTCTGACCACACAATTGTAGTAAGTGTTATGTTTTAACTAACTTGAAAACCCAGCGTTGCCCAGGATACTCATAGTTGCACCTGCTGTTTACCTGGGCCTTGGTTGTAAATTCCAATCTTAGCTATTTTTCCCTATTAAAGTAAATTTACTCAACTATGAACCTTAAAACCAAGCTAAGAACATTCCTGTGGTTCTTCCGAGTTCTCCAATTAAAANTAAACAGAGATTACAACTTTATATATATATCAATACTAGGACAAAGAAGCTTTCATACATTAAACAGGGGCGCATAAAGGTATCCTGAGGGGTATTTAGCCCCAAACAGAGGCTGAGGCCCCTTCCCTTGAATGGTGAAAAGGTTAAGCCCCCATTCTGCACTCTCACCAATGGCAGTGCAGTATATTGGTCATAATACAGACGGAGACAAGTGACAATAATACTGCAATGCCATTGGTGGGACTTCTGGTCATGTGACGTATGTATAAAATTATCAATTTTATCTATTATAAATGAAAAACTATTAAATTCAAATAATAATAGGAGCAAACCTGAGTTTCTCAGGCTCCTCTGGGATATCGTCGTTTTCAGATTGGTTGCGTATTTGCTGATTATAACCTGTTTAAACCTAAAATTTTAAACGAAAATTGATGTATATAGATTTTCGTATAAATTTTACACAGTTTTATATCAATTTCTCGAAACAAGAACATCAGATAAACGTTTGGGTCTCGATCATCTCCTAAACTGCTTTCAGCCTTTACCCCCTTTCATTTTGCCTTTACAGTCCCTTTAACAAAATCCATCTTTAATATAAATTTCCTCATTACTATTTAAGAGAACAAAGGGTTACTGGTTGCATGGTCTTCATACTAACAGGATTATCGGTTAAATTAGCGCCAATACTCAAGGAAATAGATTCTGATCATTAATAAACAAAATACCGATTTTTTTAAAGGTTTCAAAACAGGTGTTTTTTAAAATTTATTTTTTAAGTTAAGATTTTTTTAAATCAGAAATTATATTAGTTCATACCGATGCCAGTATTATATGGTGTTCTCTTGTACATGGGGGTAAACACTCTTCATGGAATGCAGGTTTGTGTTGCAGAACAGTTATTGAGCTTTTAAAGTACAGTATACTCGAGTATAGTACTTATAAGTATAGTTTTCTTTAAGCATAGTATCTTCAAAGTATACTAAAGTATAGTGTTCTAGTGTATAGTGGTACGAATATGATTGCAGTAGATTAAAGTGTAGTCAAATTACAGCGTAATTAGGTACAAATACAATTGCAGGAGAGTACATTATAGTCAAAGTACAGTGTAATTGGACACAAATATAATTGCAGTAGAGTACAGTATAGTCAAAAATCAGTGTAAGTGGGTACAAGTGCAGTAGAATTTATTTTATTCAAAGTACAGTGTAATGAAGTAAAACTGCAGCACAGTACTGTACATACAGCCAAACAAAAAATTGCAGTACAAAAGCCCTACAGAGTACAGATAGTTTAAAAATTTAAAATTTTACCGAAAAAGTCTAGTATTTTAAAAATTGTCAGTTTGTTATTATATGGTGTTCTCTTGTACATGGGGGTAAACACTCTTCATGGAATGCAGGTTTGTGTTGCAGAACAGTTATTGAGCTTTTAAAGTACAGTATAGTCGAAGTATAGCACAGTGGAACCCTTAATAACAAATACATCAAAAGAATTCATCAAATGTCGTATTCTTCACTTTCTGAAAATGGAATGTTGCAGATATTTAGTTTTTTTAAATTGAATGATTATATGGAGCTCTTTAAAACTGTTCCTGCATATTCATGGCAATTTATTTATTTTCGCAAATACTGAAATTTACGTAATATAGTATAAAACTCCATGAAAAATTGGCAAGACGACATTTCATAAATTCTTCCGATGTATTCGTTATTAAGGGTTTCACTGTACTTATAAGTATAGTTTAATTGAAGTATAGTATCTTCAAAGTATTGCATACTCAAAGTATAGTGTACCCGAATTACAGGGTAATTATAGGTACAATTGCAGTTTATCATTACAGTACATTATAGTATGTAAGTGGGTACAAGTGCAGTAGAATTTATTTTAGTCAAAGTACAGTGTAATTAAGTAAAACTGCAGTACAAAAGCACTACAGAGTATGATAGTTTTAAAAATTTAAATTTTACCGAAAAAGTATAGTATTTTAAAAATTGCCAGTTTGTTGACCGTCTGTTTCTGCTTGTAATGCCTGCCAAGCATCAACCTGATTACCTCTACCTGCGTCATGTACCACTGAAAAAGGTATACCAGACACAAAATCAATATTTAAAGATGTTAAGAAGTATGGGGTTTACAAAATCTATGACTAAACAGTACTTTTTGTCAATTAGCTGAATTTATCCTTAATTTTTAAAACTTGTCTTGGTTAATTTTAGTTAATTTTTAGAGAACATTTTTTGGGGTCTGTCCTAGTGAACGATTTTTGGACCCCCCCCCCCCCTCCTATCAATTTTGTACATGACGAAATTAGTAAATTAGTATTTATTTATTATTATATAGGGTTAGGTTAGGTTAAGACACTTTTTGGGCCGAGCGCTGCGGCTAGGATGGGCTAGGGGGCCGAGCGCTGCGGCCACATGGTCAATTATATCCATGTCTAACATATAAGATCCATGTACAAAATTGATAGGAGGGGGGTCCAAAAATCTTTCTCTAGGAATATACCACTTTTTGGAATTATTCAAAATTTAGTCAAATTGTGTTAGGTGTAACAATTAACTATATTGTCTGTTGACAGTTAGATTTTTCTTTTGAACGGTTCTTTTAGTTCATTTTTAACTTATTCCTTTATGGTAATTTTGCATAAAGATTCATTAACAGAGCCTTTCTTAGCCCTACTCCAGCATTTGCTGCTTCAGTGGCTCTAGGACCCTATTTAAGCTTCTCAATCTCAAACCAGAGTTTAACATTGTTAAATTTTTTGATATTCTAGAACTTTTTGGGTAGAGAACAAATTTCTTCAGTTTAATTTTATAAAATTATGCAAAATTTAGACTCTGACGGAAGATATAAGCCTGAACAAAGCAAAATCAACAGTTCGGTAACCAACTTTTTGAAATGTTATCTTCTGCTGGAGTAAAGATTTAACATAATGAAATAAAAGCAAACTTATGGAAAATATAATTTGGAATCGTTTGTGTTAAAAATAAGGATAGTAACAACATACAACTCTATCCAATACTATTTTTTTCTATGAAACTTATTTCCACCAGTCTTTATTTTTTAACTAGCTTAAGAACCCAGCTTTGCTTTATGGATATAGATAATGCAAGAAAAGGAGGGGAATTTTTTTCTGTTTCTGAATAAATACATTTATATTATCAGTTCTAAAATAAAAGCGATGCGATGTACACATGTATCACAAAGTTAGCTTATGAACTGATAAAATTACACTCTAAACAAAGTTTCTCTTATTTTTTTATCTAGCGACATGCTAAAACAACTTTTTAACATTGCAGCAGTTAAAATATATCCAATACATTTTCTAATTTAGGTTCATTTGTTCACTTTGATTCAAGTATTTGCACTTGCAGCTCTTTGGGTCATCAAATCCACTCCAGCTTCCCTTATCTTTCCATTACTGGTAACTTTGTTGTTTTACTTCTGAGCTGAGCGTATCTTAAAACTTGTCAGATTAATCTTTTACATTTTGTACATTTTTGAAAAGCCCTTGGGCTTTATTTTAAGATATTGAAATATGATTAACTATAAATTTTGGAAACCCCTTGACCAAGCAAATTTAAATATGCAATAATACTCAAGAAAAACTTAATTTTTGCAAAATTCATTTGAAAATTGTGCAGATTGTTTTCAAAATCCTAAAGCCTGTGTCTAAAACTAAAGAATGCGCGAATTTTAAGTTAGAGGTTAAAAGTTGTGTAAAATAATGAATGGCTACTTAAATATTAAACTTTCTCAATTTTAAAGTTGAATTTCCCGGGAAAATCTGAACCAATCAGAGAAAGGGATTTACGGAGAATATTACGTAACCATCGCTAATCAGCTGATTACATAACCGAAAAAAAAACATATTTCGAGTTACAACCGTATTTTGGGTTTACATGCAAAAACTAATTAATCTAAAACGTGAAATTTCTTTAACAAGGTTTTCACTTTTAAATATATCGTAAAGTTGAATGCCACTTTCTCAGCTGAATGATGATTAAATAATAGACAAATAGGGAAAATGCAGGATTTCAATATTTTAACACTGTGTTTAAATTTTAACTCGTCGATTTCGGCGAGTTAAATATTTAACCACAGGGTTAAATATTTAACTTCACGGTTAAAGTTCAGGTTTAAATTAAGTCAGAAGTGGCATTTAACCATGAACTTAAAATTTAAGTCAAAACTTTTCGTTCTTTAGTTTTGGACTCAGGTTTGTTAATTGTTGTTTTTAAGGTGCTAGCTTTAGTTGGATTCAGGAAAGCTATGGATTTCTTTCCAAGAATATTCAGTCAAAAGGAACTTTTCTGGTTAGGTAAGTCAAATATGTGATTTACCCCAAAAATTACATATTTTCCTTTTGAGGGATATAATTTGATCTTTACTTTTTAGTGGTTCTTCGAAATTAAAAATTCCAAACACTACTCTGTAAAGTGGAGATTATACCAAAATGTTTCCCCACAAAACGTTTCAGCTCTCCAATTAAAATGTCTTCGTTCAAAAAACATTTTCTTCTACAAGAGGTTTTCTAAATGAAAATGTTTCTTGCCTAAAAATATTTTCTAAAACAAATTTTCCCCTGAAAAAAAATTATTTGTTAATCCTAAACAGGCTGCAGCCATTTTGTTCTTCCCCTCTTAATATTACTTCATTTAAATTGTATAACTCTAGACAACTTGATGCCCCAGTCAGAAGGGAATAAAAAGAAAAAGAAAAATATGAAAAAGAAGAAACATAAAGAAGAAGAAAACTCAGATTTCAAAACAAATTGTAGAAAAGAGGTGAAAATTATACTCAAAATAATATATAATATATAATATATAATATACTCAAAATAATGCTTTTTAAAATATCAATTTTTATTGTCACATTTCAAATGTTTACAATTTCTTGTTTTTATTAATTTCGTTGGGTTGTATAGATAAACTCATGAATAGGACTAATTGATTCTATTTTCCTATTTTTTTTTCTTTCATTAGGAACTGATGGGACTAACTGGAAAAACGTCAGATGTTTAAAATTTCTTCAAGAAGTTTTAAACGAAAACATGTGTGATGTAATTGATTTTTAATGTATAACCTCTGGGTTCAGGTGTAAAAAAAAACAACTGTGATAATTTTTTAAACGCATCTTTTTAAAAATATGTTTCTGAAAATTGTAAAAATTCTTTGTAATCTATAATTTTATGAATTCCTTTTAATCTTTTAAAATAATGATATCTTTTGTAGAATTAAAATAAAGCTATGTTAAGCACAGTGAAACTGAAAAGTGATAAAAGCTAGAAGACACTAACATATAATTGTTTTTAAGTATTGCCAAAATGATGAAAAAAACTTAAGAATCGATTATTCTTTTAAAACTCTCTGATGCTCTGAAGTAAAATGTATAGAAAAATATGTTTATTATGGTTACAGCGATCACAACATACTCTATATTAAATTTTAGGTGAATAAGTTTAAGTTAACATGATACATGGTTTACAATTTTAATATTAACATTGTTAAATTATTAGTAATCTAAATCTAAAAGTAGCACAGTTAGGTTTACGAAAAGCAACAAAAACTGCTCTACTATTATTTTTAACTGATTTTAGATGTAAAATCAAACCAAAATGTCAAATCTCATCCAACATGAATGGAATCCTTATTAATTAATGGCAGTTGAGAATAAATTTTCAAGATTGAAGAAATATTATCATGATCATTAGTTCTCTTTTGTGTGTTATCGTACCACAGGATGTGAACAGATACAACACAAGATCAATAAGGTACTTGACCATGCTTAATAATCCGTTGCCGCGTCGTTAAGTCGTCATTTATCAGGTGCATTCGTCCTAATTCCGGTTTCCTCCACCAGGGGAAGTCTTGTTAGGCTTTCCTAGGCTTTTGTTTCATATATCTAGAAACATCTACTGTAAGGGGTCATTCAGAAACATTCAAAAACAAACAAAAATAAATTTAAAACAAACAAACCCTGCAATAAAATACAATACTCTCCGATGAAAACTTTGGTAATACAAAATATTTTACCACATGTTGGGTGCATGCAGCACAAAAAAATCAGTGATTAATTGCATGCAGGTCGAAGACAACAAATAAAACTTATGCCAAAATGAAAAAAAAACCATGCGTATCAAATCATGGAACTTTCTCTAAGACGTGATGAAAGCGACTTACGTTGTAATTTCAAATAACCCTCCATTAAACTCTTTTAAACTTTATCTCTAATCAATATATTGGAAAATGCCGTCGTTGTTCTAGCTTGAAAAGTGTTTATTGAGAAACCTCATGAGAAAATTGTTTTATTTCTTGATCGGAACCGCTTGTAAGGGTGCCGTTGTAAATCTGACATGTCAATCTATAAAATGGAGAGTCACTTGAAATATCGTTAAGAGTCCCTTTAACCATGTTTTTTTTACTTAATATTTGATATTAACAGCATCAAGGTATTGAAGATACTTATTCACGTACTGGTATCCGTCAGATCCCCCGAAGTATGGAACCCGTCTGTAGGAGTAGAATCTGAAATCTTTGGCTGGACCAGAACTAATATCTCCGATGTAATCGCTCCTCTTTTTGGTCTCATAGTACCTAGAAAACGAGCTTAAAGTAACTCACGGATTCAAGCATGATGTCTATCTTATGCAGAACTTAAACTAATTTATTTCGATATCTTGTGGTTTTCATACCCTACAAGGATTGATGGATCAATAGATTGATCCTAACATTTTAAGTGCCCACATTGGATATCAATATCAATACTTCATACTGTAGTTCCTGATCTCAGTACTATTATAATTTTAACAAATAAAATGTTACTGAGTTATTTATATGAATTTTGAAAAATTAGTTCATTAAGTATATAGTGAATTCCTTAACCCTATTCTTGCTGGGGGGGGGTCAATTTGGACCCCCCTGTAGTTTTTTTACATAACTCAAAAAGTATTGGTCTGAGGCTCTTGAAATTTTCTGACTTTTCTTACATACCCAAAGCCCTCCCTTTAGGCCTAAAACCGGGCTTTAATACTAACTGCCTGAGTCCTCAGGCACACTGCCTGAATGACTGCTTTTGCCAGTAACAAATTAAATCTTTGTTTTGATCCACCTACAGATTCTAAAAGTAGAGCACATGAGCTTTCTAATTATGTATCATTTGTCATATTTGGACATAAAACATGGGATTTAGAGGGGGGGGGGGTCAAATTGACCCCCCCAGCATATCCTGGTTTTGAAGTACCCCAGCAGGGATAGGGTTAATATTGTTGTTGACTATTCGTTTGTGGAAAAATTTCAGTTATTTTTAGTTTGTTTTTTCAAATGTTGTTTTAAAGTACCTGCACTTAATCTTTATGTGATGTCAACTAAATGAAAGCCAAGAAAAATACAATAGTATCAATATATCAGAGGGTCAGCAGCAAAGCAGGAGATATATCTCAGATAGAAAAAAAGAAAGGAAATAGAAAATCAATCTTAGATTTATTTCTAAGATTCAGAAGAAACGGTTCAATAATTGACATGGAGGGTAGTTCAGAAGTTTATAGATTATAATGACAATTAAAGCTCAAAGAGGGGGGGGGGGATGAGAGGGAGAAGGGTCTTAAATTGACAATTTTGAAAAAAATCCAAAATTTCTCTTCAAGTTTGTAAAATCTGCTTCCCAACAAACTAGAAATTACAGATTTCCGCTATCCGGGCAAATCAATTTTATTCAGGTAAAATGTATGCATTCAGACAATATGCCTCAAGACTCAGGCGGCTGTTGCACAAGTCTAAAGCAAGGACACTTTTAGACAAAATCAGAAAATTTTACCAGCATCAGACAAATATTTTTTAAGTTAGGAAAAAAGAAAGATTGGGGCCCCCATTGATCGGATTTCGGACTACATTTTTGAGGAATTAGAAAAATAATCAGATCAGTTTCTGATCTTGTCCATATTCTACATTTAATTTTCCTTTTTTACCTATCTAGCTCCCTGGTGACCAATGGGCTCTTTGCACGGTTGTTTCTCTCATTTAGGGTTTGTCCGGATAGATTATAATGCTTCCAGGATCCTAGAACATCTCCAGTACTCTTGTACAGATAATCAGCATCATGCTTTCCTAAATGAACACAAGTTTTACTGTAAAAATACGAAAGGACGGGGGGGGGGGGGTTGTCCCTTGCGGACCCCCTCATAGAAAAACCCTTATACTCAAAATATCGAAATATTCAGGTTTATTTTTAGACATTTACAACTTAAAGCTACTAGCTTTAGCTACCGTAGTACATTTGATGAAAGAATATTATTATTCTGCCTCTGAATCCTTGCCTTGAGTTCTGAACAGTCACTTTTACACAAAAATTACCAGCACGCAGCAAAAATTGTTCATTTAAATTTACAAAACAACTTTTATAAAAAATTTTCCGATTTAAAAAAAATGGGTTAGCGCAAGCGTTTTTAAAAATCACCATGCACTAAGAAGGTCGATTTTTTTTATTTTTTTCGAAACATGTCGATATGGGTTTCTAAAGAATTGCGCCTCCAGCCACTGAACAATGCTCAGTTGTTGTTTTTTTGAAATTGTTTGATTTCAGGCCAAAAAAAAGGTTTTCTAGGACTCTAGCAAAATTTCAACAATTAAGTCCGTTTCTTGCCTGAACTTGTTAAGTTTTAACAGATTTTTGTGATTTTAAGCCACGTGCTGAAAAAACTGAATATTTTTATCGAAAAAGTGTCAAATTGTCCCACCCTAATTATTGTCACCTGCATCGTAATAGTTGTATTTAGAAGAGAAACCAACTCTATGATCTGTATCTCGGTAGTAATCACTGGACGCCCTTTTAGAAATAAAGGTTAATAACACTTTTTTACAATAGGCTTTTAGAGCGCGTTGCCATTAAATAATCTGTTCAGTCGTTTTGACTTTTATTAAGTGTGTGTTTCTTTTCTGTAACTATTAACCTTGGTAATTTTAAAACAATTTAAAACACGGGGATACGCTCTTTTTTATAATCTATTAGTATCTAATGAAACATGGGAAAAAATAATTTAGAATTCATCTTGATTTTTGTTTTTTTTAATTGTACTCGAGATTTGAGGATTTTCATTATTAGAAACATCAGAGCCCGCGATTTAAAAACTTCGGCTTGAGCCGTAATTCCTTAAACACAACTTTAAGACCCAATCTTCGACCCAACTCTGACGACAGCTTGTGTCACGTGATTGACAGCTGCAAGATCTTCGGATCAACTTAAGAATTTAGGCCCAATGAAAATAAAACCGACCTTGATTGGTTTTAGTGGAGAATAAGGCTCAATGTTGCGTCTTGTTCTAATAAAAACTGGGAAATTCCTACCATGAAAATTCGCCAAATAGAATATTAAACCAGTTTTTTGAATTCCACTCCGTGAACTCTGTGGAAAATAAGATGCAGCTTTAATCCGAAAGCTCAAGCCGTAAATAAAGTCCAACGACAGCTTAGACCCAAGCCGTATTTTCCCGAATTTTTTAAATCGCGGGTTTTTCGTCAATATTTAATTCTATTCCTGCTTCACAGTTTCCGAATTTCCGTAGAATTAGATTCGGACAAAGAAAATCTTGATATGATTATATTTTGTCAGTTTAAAAAGAAATCATTGAATGCATCAATTTAAGTCTGACATAAACTCGGTTCGCTTTTGTAAGCAATTTTGGGCGCTTTGCATCTTTAAATAAAATTGTTTTAATTTGTTCAAAATGATAAAGTTCTGTGCAGCTTTTTTCTTTGATTGGTTGGTACGCACATTTTATCTTTTCATTATGGTCCAAAAGTTTTCTCATTTAGAATTAAAATAGCAATATTATTACAACACGTGAGTAGAATATATTTATCAAAGGAAAATACATGTGGAACCTCCATATATTTGTTTGCGTAAAAAGTGTACTGCGTTTTTAGGAAGAATGAAATCATCGTGTATTGCTTGCAAAACTTAATTACATTGAAACCCAGCATTGTTACCCAAGTTTCATTGGGTTTTGTAGATTTGTAGATACAAATATTTTTGTTAAGAAATAATTTTCTCTTTTGTTTCTTTATATTTTCTTTTTTTTCTAATTTCTTTAATCAAAATCTACACAAATTTATTGACCCCAAAATCTACACAAATGTATTGACCCCAAAATCTACACAAATGTATTGACCCCAAAATCTACACAAATGTATTGACCCCAAATGAGAAAATCGAAACTTTAAGATTTTCAGCTCAGGAGTCAGTAGACATTTTTCTGATTTGACCAGTCCGTGAACTCAAAGATATTGTTATCGTTTTCGATAAGGAGAGATTGCACTGTCTAGATTTATTATTCTAAAATAAGTGTACAGATATTTTGCACTTAAATATCTAAGTTTGCAAGTTTTTTGCTGGAGTGGGTTATAATGAGGTCACCAAGAGGTGCTAAAATCTATTTAGAGGTATTTAATAGTTTACTCAAAAATAAAGTTATCAAAAATGAAATTATTCCTTGAAAGATCTACAGCTATCATATTCCCACCTTTCCTTATCCACACCCCTTGATAGATGGCCTTCCATTTATTTGGCCTCCTAGCCTATATATTATCATTTGTGTGCACTTAACACTTATTAGTTGTTTTTGATTATGCCATTTTTGAAATAGAATTTCTTTAAAGTCACCAAAATTCACTTTTTATATTTTTAAAACGTAATTCCATACATAACATATTGTTTCGTTTTTATCATTCCTCAGCACTAAATTCACCCCTATTTTGTCATGTTTATAAATAGCTGTAGAAACTAGAAAGTGCAATACTAAAGTACTTTACTGTTAAAGGAAAACTGTGTCTGACCTCGGTTTCTCAAAATAACTAAGCATACATTTTTAGCTCATTAAATGTTGTAACCTAACCTTAGAAGAAGACAATACGAGTGCAGTCAACAGTTTAATATTTTACCCAACAAGCTTTAGACAAAAATTGATAATATAAGATCTTTGTTTTTCTTAGCAGAACGTGTAATTTGCATTTTTGTGAACAAAAATCTCAAGCTAAAAAACTTCTACACTTGTTTTTTTTCTGCAAATTAGAAAGGTGAAGTGCACTGTGCATCCTGTCCATGAGAAAATCAAAAGTCTAGAAATCTAACAAACAAAGAAAATTAAATATTTCTCTAAATATTTGAATCCGTTTAGTTCTCCCAGAGGAGGAAAATGGCAAAACTGAAGTCGGTTCACACGTCCTTGACAAAGTAATTTAATTTCGTCTTTTGGTAAATGGAATTTCTAATTTCCATTTTTGAAGAAAAAAAAATATATTATAAATAGTTAAATGTCTCACTGAAAAAAACTTCATATATTTAATTTTTTCAGCAAATTTAAGGTAAACTTCCCCTCTTACACCTCTCAGAAGTTAAAAGTTTAGAAATCCGACAAACACACAAAAATAAAATGTTTGCTTAATACTAAAATTAGTTATATTTGCTCAAAAATTAAAAAATTAAAAAACATATTTCATTTTACGTAGTAAAAAGTAATTTTTGACCATTTCTCTCTTTTTTCATTTTAAACAATTCTCTTGCTCAGAGAAGGAATAACTAAAATAAACATATGGTAAATGTATATTTTTTTATGGATTCTCAAATTAAAAGGAGTCACAGTGGATATCGAGATCATGCGATGGAGATTATGAGTATCCAACATATAAGTTTCCAGCTTTGATTGGATTTTTGGTTTTAAGGAAATACAAGATGAAGCCACACTTTGAACAATTTTTTAAAAATTTAATATTTTGATTCAGTATCTTTTGTCAAGTTTTCCTTTAAAAGGAATCGTTCACCATAAATAATTACATAATAGTACAACTTAAAAAAAATGTAAATTTTAAGGATTACTTTATTTAATAATAAACAAAATCAGATAACATTTTTAATTTAATTATTTTATATTTTTTTTATTTACGGAAAAATATCTACTTGGAAAATTCGTAAAAGGAATTGCTTCTATGACAAAAATTCTGATTTTCCAATCCCTTTATCTTTGCAACCCAATGTTATACACCTTAGCTATTTCAAACTATGAAATCTGTTACATTAGTTAATCTAAGTTTGAAACATAAAAGGTTTACACCATCAGTTTGCAAAGATACAAAATTATAAAATTTGAGTTTGTAACTAGAAAATAAGGTTTACCGGGAAAATATGATAGTTGATATTATTGATTTTTTCAAAAACGTAATAATCCTTTATTATTGAAGTCCTAGATTGCTTGACATTACAATCCCTTTACCTTGAAGTCCTAGATTGCTTAACATATGACCGGAGGGCATCATCTTTGTTCAGTTTTCCCATATAATCTATCACCTTAACACAAGAAAATATTTTCTTTGAAACTTTAAAAAAGATAATCGATTTTAAAAATCTGCTTAAGTGTTAACCTAAAATCGCTTTTGTGCATACAGGTTCCGCAATTGAATTCTTTTTATCAGCAAACAATTTTTTCTTTAAGTTTTCTGGGTGCAAGCACAAGGATCTTCCCCCCCCCCCCCACCCTTGGAAAAGACCTAATGACCATCTAATGAAGGTGCAATGCAAAAATATAATTGACTACTTTTTAACAAACGGACATATTAAAATAATGCTGAAAAAGTTGTCTAAATCCCCAATCTGTGAAATCCGAGATGGGTAAAATCAAAATTTAATTGGTTCTTCCTTTTCAGCCACAATTCTCTTAAATTATTTGAATTCTCTAATCATATAATGATAGTAAGTGTCTTAAATCTGAGAAACTTGAATTCAATCAATATTTTGTTCTTACAGACGAATCTGGGAAATTCTCGGAGGGTCTTTGAAATTTTGAGTTTTCATGCTAAAGTAAATTTTTAGATTTCTATAGATGCTTTGTTTGTCAAATAATAAATTTTACAATTGTGTCCGGAATGCAAGATGGCGGACAGAGGACAGACACTATTAAAATAACGCGCGGAGCAGATGTTTAGTTCATTATCTATATTTGTATCCAGGAATACCAAACTAATGTCTTCTAACATCAAAATATGCAATTAAAACACTAAAATTCAGAATTGTTAGAATCAAATATTGAAGATTTAAAATTGATAAGCATAATACATTAAATGAAAGAAAAAAGAAAAAAAAAAATCTCGGAACATTTTCTTTAAACAAATATCAATTAATTATTTTTAACACTTTACATGCAAGGAGTTCATGTTACCCATGTGGCCATTAAAAAACATCATAAAAAATTAAACGTATATAATTCATCTATTTTCTTAATATTTAAGAAGATATGGTGTTAAAAAACTACAGAAGTTGTCGAGCAAAACAATAAATATTTTTCGGTTTTTTATTTAGTTGGTGTCTGTATATTCAGTTCTGGTTACTCAGAAAAAAGGAAAGAAATTGACAGAATTTCAATGATTTAAATTTTGAATAAAGAGTAACATAATGAACAAAAAACCTACTTTTCCATCATAGTCAGTATAGTGGGAGTCATCATTGTAGCGCTTTGAGTTGGAGTAGGAGTAGTTGGTAGAGCAGGAGGAGGAGGAGGAGGAGTAGCTTAGATCGGAGGCGTAGGAGTTCTCAGATTTATAGTATGGACTACACCTCTGATATGTATAGGCTGGGGCGGGGGGAACAGAGGCAGCTCTAGCCCTAAAAGGTTGGGCTGAAGTTAGGAAGGAGTTGGAGTAGAAGGAGGTTGGGGGAACACTGCTGGATCGAGCATATCGGGCTAATAATAATATTGGATGAACATTCTTATTACTTTATATATTTATTTAATATTAAAAATCCTGAGGTGCTAACTTTTGAACAGGTTAAATTAATTCTTTATTGGTTTGAATGCGCTTAACTGATTCTATCATTTCACTGTTCACCGACATCTAGTTTCCCAACGGGCCTAGTAACTGTTTACCTGCATTTATCTCAGAAATCTGATTAGAAACTCTTTACATGCACCATACATGCACTCATTTCAGAAACGTGCGTAGAGAAACTGTTTACCTGTATCTATGTCAGGAACGTGCCAATGAATTGTTTACTTGTATCTATTTCAGAAACGTGCGTAGAGAAACTGTTTACCTGTATCTATGTCAGGAACGTGCCTATATATTGTTTACTTGTATCTATTTCAGAAATGTGCCTAGAGAAACTGTTTACCTGTATCTATGTCAGGAGCGTGCCTATGAACTGTTTACTTGTATCTATTTAAGAAATTTGCCTAGAGAAACTGTTTACCTGTATCTATGTCAGGAACGTGCCTATGAATTGTTTACTTGTATCTATTTCAGAAACGTGTGTAGAGACAGTTAACTTGTATCTATTTCAGGAATGAGTCAATCAATTCTGTTTATATGCATCTTTCTTAGGAACGTAAATAAAACTATACTGAAATCATAAATGTATCTATGGAACTCTCCCAGGAATTGATTACCTGTATCTAGTTCTGGAACGTGCCTAGGAGTTGATGAGGAACGCAGGGTTCTATTTAACTGGGGCAGGTAGGATTTGTAAATACCTAAGCATACAAATTATCACACTTTACAGAAATCTCTTAATTTTGAACGAAATAAAATTAAAGTAATTCATTTACTATAAACATTATCGATAATTGAAAACGTTATATTAACTATATCTCTGTTATTTGTAAAGCTTTCATCTTGAAACTTTGTTATCAAAGAAAACTCTGAATTGCATACTAGATATTTTAAAATGTTAATGTAGTTAAAGTTTTAAACGGGTTAATGTGTAGTTTGTGATAAAAAATGATCCATCAATATTCATTGCATCTTAATGTGTTCCTTTTGATCTCTAGTGAAAAAAAGGAAATACATTTGGAAATTTGTAAAAACTAAAATAACGTTCAACATTTTTTGGCGTCCTTTTTGAAACTCTCCCCAATTTGTGTGATGTGCTTATTTATGGCTTTTGAAAGTTAGCGATTTTAGTCAACAACGCATTATAATAACATTTTACTGTTTTTGAAGGAAAAATTAGAAAACGCTATTTTCTAAATATAAAAGATTATTTTGGATGATTTTCGTACTTTTAGCTCGAATAATCGATGTTGAATTTTGAAAATTATCGTTTTAAAATTTCTTAAAATGGTTAATATTATATGCACAGTGAAAGAATGCTTGCTTACCTGTGATATACCTATAGTAAGACATTTTGGCTAGTTTTTATTTGTCTTTTTATCGTCTTCGTAATGTCGTCTTTTTTCGGAGCTTGTATCCTAGACAGGGCCAGCTGATCTAAAAAGTAATCGATTTTATTGATTTAAGAAATAAACAGTCATAACCAGAACAAAGGGGAATGAAACTCGTCTTTGCTCAATTAAAAAAGACTAGATTTCATGAAAAAAGCGAGAACCGCCGGGTTGAACATTCGGATCGCTTCACGTACGAGGGTGCTAGAGCGTCGGGAAACCCGTCGGTCGCAGGATGCAATTCAAACTGCGATTATCTTGTGTGCTAGATCAAGAGCTGAGAGAGGTTGTTCAATTTAATCAACTTTGTTCAATTACTTCTCATATTTATTAAATCTAGCTGGGCCCCGGGAACATGTTTAGAGTTATACCAATTAACAGATAAAAATTACAAATTCTCTCTTGACGTTTCTAATTGAAAGAGTTTATAAAAAGAAGACTTTCATTCCTTTTTTTTTAGCTGCAGTTTTGACTGTGTAAATCAAACATTTTCAGAATATCCAACTATTCATAAATATTTTTTTTCGAAACTTTTCAGGTACGGGATTTGTATTTAGAGTTCTGAATTTGTTACAGAATTTTCTGTTTCCCTCCTCAAATTGATTTACCGACCCCATTCCTGTTGCAAAACTTGACACTCTAAATATATTTTAATATGAAATGTATTTACGATTGAGACCGGCAGACTTTAGAGTGTGCAATGAGGCCCCGATACTTGCAAACAAATGCATTGCTTTTTTGTTTTATTTATCTCCATCAAAACATTGCTTGTCTATACATGCTATACATACTTTTAAAATAAACAGACGGATGCACCAGCCGTGGACAATAGACTTTCGGTAAAACATTTTTTTTAAGGGTTTTTTTTCAGAGGGAACATTTATATTGACCTCTTGCTGAACTCCTATCATGTAGTTTTCTCTTTAAAGGGAGTGTTCGCGAAAAATGAAAGGGGGTATAGGCTTAATGCGATAAAAAAGCGCTTTTGATCGCTACTAATCCTACTTCTATCTGTTGCGTCTATAAGGAGAAAATTGTTAAAGACGTCTCATACATGGCTTCCATACAAATTTAGAAAATTGCAACATACGACTTAGACCGTAAGAAATCAATTTAATTTCAAACAAATCATTCCGATATTACAACCTATAGTCATCGATTATCTTTCGCCACATTTGTATCTATTTGATATTTCATACTAGTTTGGATTTTGTTTTTTAAAATAATATTTGGCTTACAACTTGTTTTCGAACATTCCTGGAAAAATATGAAAATGTCGTCTTCATTACCAAAAATCCTGGAAACAGGAATAAATGTTTTTATAAGTAACTCTCAGATCATAACAATTAAAACATATTATGAAAAATCAAATATATACAAATGTGGCGAAAGATAATCGATGACTATAGGTGGTAATATCTGAATAATTTGTTTGAAATTAAATTGATTTTTTTACGGTCTAAGTCGTATGTTGCAATTTTCTCAATTTGTATGGTCTCTACGTTCTTCGGTATGAGAAGTCATTAACAATTTTCTCCTTATAGACGCAACAGATAGAAGTAAGATTAGTAGCGATCAAAAGCGCTTTTTATCGCATTAAGCCTATACCCCCTTTCATTTTTCGCGAACACTCCCTTTAAATCTTTAAATTTATCTATTTTTAAACTATTTGAATACCCTTTACAGAAAAACCTATTCTACTTCTTTTATTATTAAACTTATTCTACTACCTGTATTATTAAACCTATTCTACTACCTTTATTATCAAACCTCTTCTACTACCTGTATAATTAAACCTATTCTTCTACCTTTATTATCAAACCTATTCCACTACTTGTTCTAACAAACCTATTTAACGTACCTGAATTATAAAATCTATTCAGCTACTTTTATTATTAAACCTGTTCTACTACCTGTATTATTAACCCTTTTCTTCTACATATTTTACTAAATCTATTCTACTATACCTTTATTATTGAAATTATTAACATTATTATTATTATGAACAAGGGAACGAATTTGATGAATTTAAACTGCCAACCGCCCAGTGGTTCAATTTTGTACCGGCAGTAAGTAGTTTACTACCTGTATTATTAATTCTTTTTATTTCCTGTGTTCTTAAACTTGTTCAAGTGTTACCCCAATAAAAAAAAGTAATTTGCCCGAGTCACAATAAGAAAGATATCCTCGTTTTTCATTTCTCGAGCAATGATTAGTTTTGTCCTTTTCATTACACAATACCAGCAATTTAAAGGTATCAATTAAAACGCAAGGATATAAATGTAAATTCATATAAATTACGTCGGCAGTCTCTTTTAGTCTAGTGGCTATACTACCTGTATTATACTGTGATCCTGTGGCTAGCTGGAATACAACTGACCTGCACAGCTACAATACACCTGACCTCTATACACTCATACAACCTACCTGTTTTCATAGCTATCTATTAATCTATCTATCTAACTATCTATCTTACTTTCTATATTTCTATCTATCTTTCTTTTTTTCATTTTTCTATCTTTCTATCTTTCTGTTTTTCATTTTTCTATCCTTCTATCTTTCTATCTTTCTATCTTTCTACATTTCTACCTTTCTATCTTTCTATCTATGTTTCTCTAATTGTAGTTATGGGTAACTACTCAGAGAGAAATCCAATATTTTGTTAGAAGAAAATCGCTTTTTGTTGTGGCTTCATATAGTGGGTAAATACATTGCATAAAATGTAAAGAAACATATATTCAAAAATTAGTAACATTATTTTATTTCTATAAAAATCGTTTTCAGTAGTGTACAGAGTGAGCCTAAAGAAGAGATGAACTAGCGATATTACAAAATGTTTGTTTCCTTGGAATCTAGGTATAAAAACATTTGAAATAAAATCATTAATATTTATTGATATTTAAACGAAAAATAAAGTTAGCGAAATAAATGAAAAAAAAATCAAATTTCTTTAAAATGTATTGGAAAATGTATGTTCTGAGCTGAAAACTTTAGAATGGTGGATATAGAGATCAATACTTTAAATTTTTTTTTAATCTCGACAAGATTAATTTAATCTTTTGTTGTATCTTGGAAAGTGTATCAAAATTAACCAACCAGAACGTTGATTGCAGAATTTGAACAGCCAATCAAAAGCCGCGATATGACACAAATGCCTAAAAATTGTAAGGGAAATCTTAAATCTTACGTTTTTACTGAAAGGGTGTTCATATAGCATTTAAGTTTTCATCTAGGGTTTCTATTCGTAAATCATTTGATCAATTTTTGCGGAAGGAAGCGCAAATTTTTGCTTTTGATAGATTTTTACGCGAAAAAAATAACTTAGCACAATTTATTCGCAAACTTCATTTCACGCTTAACTGTATAAATTAGTTATCTATAAAGATTGTATTTTTCCCCTTATAATTGCATTGCAATAAAAGAAACTGATTATTTGCCTAAAACTCAAATACTATGCAACCTCATGGCTTAGACCTTTCGTATTTCAATCATTAGTTTTTAGTTAAAAGTAGTCAACATTTAAAATATCAACAATTAACAATAGACAAAGATTCAGACATCAGTAACAATTACTCATCAATTTTTAAGTGTCGCAGCGCCTTGGCCTTTTGTTTACCATGAAAAAAACTAATTTTCTGTAGCCCTAGACAAATTAAAAATTTATACAGAGGCGTTTAAGATATATTCCAAACTTAAAGATTACCTAGGTTGGTTGTGAACATTGGCTTTTCTTATATAATTGAGTGCATGCGATGTACATGAGTTCTGTAGAGAGAATTTTAAATTTAGTTTAGTCCTTCTTCAATTCTTGTCAAAATAGAAATATCACATAGATTGTCAAGTACTTGACATCAACCTATTTGTGAAATAATATTATCAAGGAGAAATATTGGTCCTTAAAATATTGTTCTTCAAATTATTCCATTCCTGGAGTTAATTTACACTTTATCCTTGAGTAATTCGATTAAATGCAGTGTATTCAATATTGTAAAATAGTTTAAACGGCCATCATTTATTTGTAATTTTTCCAATTAAAGTTGAAAATATATGTTTTTGAAAATTTTATAAAAATATTAATTTTGTGTAAAAAAGTTCCGCCGCAGGCAAACTTTTTTCAAAATCTAATCTTAAAAATCAGAATTAAAGGGCTATAAGGTGCCTGCTCTCTATCCTTGCGCTCCTATTTTTTTGCAGAGTGTTTTATTATTTTATTCTGCACTATATTTTAGAAAAACGGTACATAAAAGCGGTATTTAAATACAAAGCAGGCGCCTTAAGGGGTTGGGGGAAACGGGGAAACCCCTGAAAAAAATAAAGCAAGAAAGGGGGGGGTAATTAAACGATTTTTTTCATGAAAGCATAGGAGAAAGGGGGTAAATTAAAATATACTCCTTTTTTGGTTGAAGATGGCACTTTTCTTTTTCAAAACAGGGTGTGGGGGGGGGGGGGGTAAAT